AAGAACTATTACTACAAGGCTGAAACAATTTTTTTGGAAATAATTACAGTAGCCAATTTTCCCAGTCAGATAAGAGATAACTTAGAGCTGAGAAGTGTGCCCCCCCCCTTAGCCCTTTTCTCCTGCATACCTGCCTCCAGCATTTAATAGCTACCGTCATGGACACAATTCTCTTTCCAGGCAGCTGACTGCTGCCTGTGCCACCAGTGCCCTCCTCTGGTATTTATGAAGGCAGCAGAAGGCGTACAACCTTGGACACATCCTGAGCAAGAAGGCTGGAAATTTGAGGGCATGACTGTGCTGTGTGGCCTTGTGACTCAATCACATAGATTTCTTTTTTTATAAACAAACAAACAAGAAATCCCACAAACGCACTTGTAGTCATTTTCCAAGCCCTCTTGGGAAAGAGACTTCTCATAAATGAAATAATGACCATTTCCTTTTCTCTTCCAGGTTGTCAGACCATCAAATCACGCTACAATCCAGAGCATCGTGAAAGCAGTGGGAATCATTCCTGGCATCCCAGAGCCCTGCTGTGTTCCTGACAAAATGAACTCACTCAGTGTCTTGTTCTTAGATGAGAACAAAAACGTTGTTTTGAAGGTATACCCCAATATGTCAGTTGAAACTTGTGCCTGCCGATAAGTTCATACAAATACATCTTCAACAACACCTACAGATCCTTCCTGACTGCACTGGGAAGTTGTAAATGGGAAACGAATCCTCTTGAGTTGACTGATGAATGCAAGTCTACAATTCTTCTGCAGAAGGTGTGTAAAGAGAAAAGAATAATACACGTGCCCACCTGAAAGGATATGCCTTAGTACCATCATTTGACTTGTACATTCACCTTCCAGGCATTCAATACTTTTACAAAATTTTCCTAACCCACCTATCCAAGACACGTTGATATTTAGTGAGAAAATTATATGTAAAGTTTTCCATAATCAAAAGACTAAAACATGTTTTTATATGCTATTTCTACTATTTTTATCTCTTCGATTACTTAAGAAGATGGGAAGTGAACTTGCAAATTATATTAGAATATCACTTCTGTACACAAAATATTTTGCCTAAAATACTCATAATCTGCATATTTATACTGAAAAACATGCTGTAATAAAGGGCTTAATATGTATATTTTCTTCAGGAAGCAAGTATATTACACTGTCATAGAATCATACAATCATGGAATTGTTTGAGTTGGATGGGATCCTTAAAGGTCATTTGGACCTTTATGATGCTATATATATATGCAATGAACAGGGACACCTACAGCTCCATCATGCTGCTCAGAGTCCCACCCTTGAATGTCTCCATGGACAGAATAGCCACCAACTGTCTGGGCAAACCTTTTCAGTGCCCCACAACCCCATTTGTAAAAAAAACTTCTTCCTTCTACCCAATCTACATCCCCCTCTTTTAGTTTGAATCCATTTTCCCTTGTCCTAGTACAAAAGACTCTTCTAAAGATGCTGCCCCCTTCTTTTCTTCTAGCCCTCTCAAGATACTGAAAGGCCACTATCAGGTATCCCTGGATCTTTCTGACCAACCACTGGCTTTCTGGGCTGCAGGGGTACATTGCAGGCTCATGCCCAGCTTGCCACCCGCTAGTGCATCCAGGTCCTTTTCAGCAGGTCTGTGCTCTATGCTTATATCTCCCAAGTTTTACAGCAAGGGTTGCCACAACCCAGGTGCAAGTTCTTGCACTTGGAATAAGTGCAGTAATAAACCTTGCACTATATAGGCTTTCACATACCCCGTATGTTAATACTGACATTTTTGGTTACCCTGTATTAATACATAATTTGTTCTACAAAAGACATAATGTAACACCCCACACTTTTTATTTGCTGGATGATTTTATTTGCTAAACATGTGCTCTGAGCAACACATACTATATATTAATATGTTGAAATACTAAAAAAAAAAAATAACCAAGATTTATATTTTTGTAAATTATATTCTCTAGATTGTTACACGCTTTTAACAAAAGCTAATAAATTAAAGGAACAGTAGTACCTAAAACTAGTAGAATTGTCATTCTATAAATCTTCTCTGTTACATTCAGTAGTTTTTGCATCATGTATTATGGAGCCTCTGTTTTTTAAGCTTGGAAATATTGAAAAACATGCATAAATCTGGCTTAACCAACTTCAAGTGGTAATCTATTTCTACTGGACTAGTAGTTGTTCCAAAAGATTTGTTTTTTTGTGGCTTAAATGTAGCTTGAATTTATTGAGGTTTAGCTTCAATCCGTTGGATTTTACTGTAACCTATTTTTATTAGATCCCTTTTGTCTATTATCCCAAATATATTCACTGTGTATTTTTAGTATACAGAGCAGAGTCAAATTACGTTTTGGCTAGGATTTAAATAGGTACTTTGATTTCTTATTATTCTAAGCCTCAAAACAATTTCTCGTAGCTCTTTTCTGAAGTCTTTCCAGAACTTTCATTAAATTCTTTTTCCAGCAATGAACTTCAACATGGAACACAATATTTGGCAGCTGTTCCATTAAAAGTCTTAACAGAAATAACTCTGCTTTCCTCTAGTTCTCTTATGATCCTCTGTTGATACATTCACGATAGCTCTCATAAAAGCAACACTCCTCTAACAACTGATGTTCCATTACTGAGCCTGTCAATTCTCTTTCTCTCTATCCCTCCATGCCAGGACACACTGGTGATGTGCTTCATTTTCGCCCACTTGGTATGCAATAATCTAAGCAGACCAGGAGCAAAACAAACTCCTGAAACCAGTGAGGTAGCACAGAGAGCAAGATGCCAAGCCTTTCCTCCTTGAAGGACAGTCTATTCTTCTCTATTATTGTATTAGAAGTATATTGCTCAGGGAAAGGACACAACACCTACTACCTGGAAGGCTTCCACCCTGCTAAGGCACGAGGTACTTTCTACTACAAATATTCTGTATTCATGGGGTGCAGGTTCCCAGGCAATAGAGTTGTGTAAATGTGTCCCTCCCCACTAACCTACATAAAAGCAAGACTTGGTGTGTACAAGAGTGTCTGTAATGTTACTCTATCAACATTTCTTCCCCATTTATTCTAACACTCTTAAGTAGATACCTAAGACACCTTGTAGTGACTGCTAATTACAATTGCCAAAACATCATGGATCTTGATAAGCACTTCTTCAGAAGCACTACAGGGATTTACACAAGAATTACTAAGACAAACATTTGTGTACTGTTGCTATTAAAGATCTCCCTTAAAAATGAAGGGTCTTGTGTTTTCATGAATTAAGAGACACTCAATCAATGTTGACAACGATGGTAAAATATAGGGGAAAAAAGGAAAAATTATCAGAAATTAAGCACCTATTCCTACAGAACAGCAATTAGCAAATTAGCTTAAAACTCCCCAAAGCGTCCTAAGTCGTTGCCATTTCTGTTCTATGTGACTTTTTTTTTTTTTTTTTTTTTTCTCTAGGCAATCTTTATCCCATTTAGCAACAGCTTTGAAGAGAATAATATATTAGCATAGTGTATTTATGCTCTGGTCTATTGTGTTTTTTTCCCTAAGAAATTCTGTATCTTGAATTAGTCTTTGGGTACATATTCACTACCCAAGATCTGCTGATGCAAATAATTAGGAGAGATCTGTTATAAGGTCTATGGGATGTAAGGGAAAATGCTATTCCTATCTTTTTAGGATACCTGGAGAAACCTGAAAGATCTGGTCTGTATTTAAAGATTGGCATAACTACGTAATTTAGCATGGGCCAAACAAAATTATGCCCATAAGTTACATAGCTATCAAGACATTCCCTTACTACACAAAAGAGGAAATTCTCTTACTATTAAAGTTTATGTCATTTAGTAGAGTACTGTAACTTAGAGAAGTTCATTTTGTCACAAGACATTTAGTGGTTTAACTATATCTGTCAATTCTCTAATGCAAACCAGGCTTTCACCACAATTGGTTTAGAAGTGGCTGCTTTCTGGGTCTCTGAATGCCTATTCTTCCTTTGGAAAAGGAAACTTTGAATTTAATACATATAAATTATTTCTAAAATAGCACAAATCCTGTCAGCTGATATCCACACCATCTTGAATCTTCTCTCCTAACAGTTCTCTGACTTCCATGGCCATGCTGTATACCCTTCCACTCAGTGTTTACATTTCTAGAAAAAGTTACTATTGACAAACACCTAAAATAAACAGCAAAATAATCTCATTAATCCTCCAAAAAATGAGGATGATCAATAGCAGATGATTACAGACAGATAAACCAGTAAATCAGCTGATAATAGTCAGCAAAGTTTAAAGGACATTTTTTACTACAATATTCCATTTAATTCTTTGAGTTCACAGTTTAATTGCCAGAGGTAAAAGCAATAATTAGAATGTTTTTGTAAACTGTTTCTTTTCATTTTCACAAGGCGGTATGATTAACAGAAACTACTGGACAATGTCAATATATTTATGCATCACACCAACTAACAACTGTCTCACTGCCAAACTTCAAAGAGCAGTTTACAAATGGAATTGCCATTAAATGAAACTGTTCATTGTTAAGTTTCTGCAAAGATGACACTTGGCCTGACAATGCGTAACATCTTTACATATGAACTGGAAGTCTTTTATATACAACAACCTCCACAGCACTTGCACAAGAGTGTTCAGCAGATTGGTATTTATATAGAATGCTTGATCTAGCCACGCAATCAGGACTCATTTTAAGGTAGGCAGATGCAGAATATTCTACCTGGGCACAAGGAATAGAGGCTGTTCTTACAGAGCAGAAGACTGCACCCTTGGAAACTATAACTTTTAAAATAGATTTGGTGGGTGTCATGGACCTGCAGTGTAATAGAAACATCAAGGATGATGCTATGTAAAAAGAGCTACTGAAAGCTACGAAAAGATGCACTGTGGAGCAGAGAACCCGGTAGTAAAGGAGATTTTTTTCTGCATGTGGCACTGGAAGACTGCCATTAGAAAACCATGTATAGCTCCAGTGTTCACCTTTTCAGAAAAACATTGAAATTCTGGAAGAGACACAAAATGAGAAACAAAAACAGTTAAAGAATATATCCTCTAGAACGTGACTAAAAAAAGCACTATCTGTTCATTTTATCAGAAAGCAAACTGAGAAGTAACTTGATTACTCTAAGTACCTTGATGGAGAGAAAATGCCGGTGCTATGGGGCTTCTGAATTCCACAAGGAAGTGAGTAGAACTGGTGTCTAAAAGGTGTAAGCCTGGAACAATGAACAATAAATGAAGCACCAGGATTTTTAAGCTTGAGCGATAGTCTTTTAGAACGAGTGCTACAAAAAGAAGAAGATGAAGAAAAATTCTTCATTTTTCTGGAGATCCTTGAAATGTTACACTTAGCCAAGTACAAGAAATTGGACTTTGCACACAAGTATTAAATACAAAAGAAATTTTGAGTTTCGTCCCATTCTTCTCATGGATAATAATGTCAGACTCTTTTCATGTAGCCTCAGAAGGGTTGGTTCTGTTTCCATTCTAAGGTCACTGGTTGCTCTTGTTGCTCTCAGATTGTATTGACCATCAAGAACCTAAGAAATATATTATGTAAGATACTATAAAAACAAGACTACAAAAAACTACAAGTCTACAAAAGAATCAGACTGAAAAAGAACAAGCCTGCCAACAGCCTGAAACGCACTTGACACAAAACAGATATTACAGTGTGTACAAATAATAGCTCTTGGCTGATAAACGGAAAGAAGTTTTAAGGTTGTTTGTACTGTCATGAGAGCATGTCTTGCAGAATCACAGGTCTCCATCAAATTACTGTAGATTTACTGATGGCATATTAATGGAATGTGGCAGGGATATGTGAGATGTTATTTACTAATGGCTGATAGAACAATTTCATTCTAGAGTTCTGTTTTCTAGTCATGATGAAAATCGTGTAATCTTCCACGTCCCTAAAAAAGCTTCTGTCTGAGTTGGCAAGGAAATGCTAAAAGAGTGTAATTAAGTAACGATGACCCTAAAGTGAAATGTGGATTCTTTACAATATACAATGTCCTTCCCACCAGCCATGTGTGTTTGTCAGATGTTTATAGAATCTTCATTAACTAAGAGCTTCGCTAGATAACAGAAGCTGAAGCATGGCATCAATGACTCAGATAAGGGCAAGTGTACAACCAATCTGCTTGACAACTGACAAGAGGCTGGGGTTTGAAGCAGACTGTGAAAAGAACACAAGAAAGTGATTTGCAAAGGGCATTCCATCTGTTTGCCTTCCACCTCCTCTCCTCTGTCTGTAAAGATTCAACATTTTTAATCAGTTAAAATACTTAGTCCTCTTGTCTGTCCCTCAGAAAGTAAATGCATAAGAAATGCATTATTTTGGAGTATTAGCTGCACTTTCTGTTTTCAATATAATTGCCTGCCTGACAAGAGGCAAACCTTTGGAAAACTGGGACAAGCTACCAGTTATGGGAGAGTCTGACACATTCTTTCATGATCCTGGGGAAGTGGAAGACGAGACCCATTTTGATTTTAAATCTTTCCTGGAGAATATGAAGACAGAATTACTAAGAAGTTTGAATTTATCAAGGATTCCCTCACAAGCGAAGACCAAAGAACCACCACCACAGTTCATGATTGATTTATACAACAGATACACAGCAGACAAGTCCTCCATTCCTGCATCCAACATCGTAAGGAGCTTCAGCACTGAAGGTAGGAGAAGTCCTAAATGTGTGGACAAGAATTTTTAAAGATATATGCGAGCAGCAGTCACATGCTTTTGAAATTCTGAGGAAACTAATTGCCTAACTTCCACAGATTATTTAGAAAGCAAGTAGATCAAATTTTTGGACTGTGGCCTTACTTGCTCCTTTCAATCTTTAAAAAACACAATTTAAAAAAATTCTCTGATGTTTTTATTGTACAATTTTATCTTCTCAAATGCCTAAATTGAGAAAATACATTGAATACAGGGTTTACACAAATCATGTTTCTCAATGCTAGAGATTTGTGACTGCTTTTTTATGTTAGAAAACAAATATTTGATCATGTATAACTGAGACATTCATGCCAGAGAGCTCTTCTTTCTGAGAGGCTTCTGTCATTCTTAAAAAATACAGTAGCCAACTGAGATATCTGTGCCTCGATCCAAGTAAGGATCCAGCAGTGCTCACCCCAAATTCTGGTTTAGAGGGGAAGATTTACATGAAAAGTTGTAGCCAAGCTTGTCTCAACTTGAAAAAAAAATCCAAATCTGCCTGTAGCAATAGATTTTTGAAAGCTCCATGTCAAGAAACAGTAAAAAAAATGTTATAAGTGCAATCTTTAGAATAAAAATGAGACAGGGAGAATCTGTTTTTATAAAATATAGTTGTATAGAGGTAACAGCACTACAAGGATCTCCAGATTCCCAAATAAGTGACTCTAGTTCTGAAATGGAAAGAAAACTCAACAGTATGAGCTAGATTATAGTTCCCACATCCCACTCTCTACTCAGACTGCTTTAGAGGGAAGAAGAGTCAACAGTAGCTAATTAAAATTGCCCTATAATACAGTGATGATCGAGTAACTATCTAACACTGACCATCAAAGAGATATCATTCAGTGATGACTTTAAAATACTACCTATCTGATCTGTCAGAAAAATACCTGCCCTTCCCAAGCCAGAGTTGCTGCTTCTGCACATACGTTTGCAGAAAAATATAATAAAACACCGCAAATACTCACAAAAGCCTGGAATATACCTAAACATGAGGGATATTTATCACCAAGTCCCAATTTAAACAGACTCTCGAGCTTTGATACAGATTTTTCAGAATTTTTCTGTCTTCTCTCTCAGTAACACAAGCTGCTTTCAAAGCTACCTGAAGACACCAAAAACCTCAGCACAGTTAATTCTTAAAAAGAGACAAATACACACCATGCTTCTCTATACTAGGAGAGCAGTTCATCCCACGGCACTGTGATGAGTGGTAAATTCTAATAGCTTTTTTTTTTTTTAGGAATTCTTTCTGTAAAATACTCTTCAGGAAATTGCTAAATTTTACACTTCCTAGATGAGTACCTGCTACAGCACCATCTGCACCTTGTTTTAGGAAGACTCTTCCTGCTACCCCTTCACTCCTTCAGACATTCACCTGCATGCAGTCTTGGTGAAAATACTACCAACATCAAGATACTCCATTTTAACTTTTCACTCCCTGCTTCTTGAAACCTAGCCAGAAGATGGTATTATTATTTTATTTATTTTTTCATGCTAGGTAGCCATAGTCTTATTTTACTCCCAAAACACATCCTGAATCTTTTAAAAGCAAGTTATTTGGACTGTCGGGAGCACTGTAACCACAGGTTTTTATTTCCTATTGCAGATGTTGTTTCTTTAACTTCACCAGAAGAAAACCCATTTCAGAAACACATCTTGCTGTTCAACATCTCTATTCCACGATACGAGGAAATCACCAGAGCTGAACTGAGAATCTTTATCTCCTGTCGCAAGGAAGTTGGGTCTCCCTCCAGACTGGAAGGAAACATGGTCATTTATGATGTTCTAGATGGAGACCATTGGGAAAACAAAGAAAATAGCAAATCTTTGCTTGTCTCCCACGGTATTCAGGAGTGTGGCTGGGAAATGTTTGAAGTGTCCAGAGCTGTGAAAAGATGGGTTAAGGCAGACAAGATGAAGACTAAAAACAAGCTAGAGGTTGTTATAGAGAGTAAGGCTCTGGGTGGTTTCCCTTGCGGGAAGCTGGATATCAGCGTTACTCGTGACACTAAAAATCTGCCCCTGTTAGTAGTATTCTCCAATGATCGCAGCAATGGGACAAAAGAGACCAAAGTAGAGCTCCGGGAGATGATTGTTCATGAGCAAGAAAATGTGCTAGACAAATTAGGAAAGAACAACTCTTCATCTGAAGAAGAACAGAGAGAGGAAAAAGCCATCACTAGGCCCCATCAGCATTCCTCCAGAAGCAAGAGAAGCATTGGAGCAAACCACTGTCGGAGAACTTCGCTCCATGTGAACTTTAAAGAGATTGGTTGGGATTCTTGGATCATTGCACCCAAAGATTATGAGGCTTTTGAGTGTAAAGGAGGTTGCTTCTTCCCTCTGACAGATAATGTTACGCCAACAAAACATGCTATTGTCCAGACTCTGGTGCATCTCCAAAACCCGAAGAAAGCTTCCAAGGCTTGTTGTGTTCCAACTAAATTGGATTCAATTTCTATTCTTTATAAGGATGATGCTGGTGTGCCCACTTTGATATATAACTATGAAGGGATGAAAGTGGCAGAATGTGGCTGCAGGTAGTATATGCAGAATATCTATAAGAAGAAGAATACTCTTTTCTGCTGTCTGTGAAACTGTACATTAGTGATGTAAATGAAAATCCTTGCAAACAAGGTTTGGAGCACGGGATGGAGCTGGTTGTTTGTTGTTGCTGCTTTTAAAGGAAAGCTGGCATTTAAAGGATGGCAATCATTGTAAATAACCTGCATTATATATCATTAATTAAAATTTTGTGAGATTGAAAGAACTACACATTATTTGGCCAGAGTGACAAAAGCCAAAAACTTATTTGAATTTTTCTGTTAAACCAGTTCTGTTCAGGTCACATGCAGCCTTTGGAATTGAGGATGTCTTTTAAATTTCTAATAGGCATAGAAATCTAACTCTCTCTGTCAGATCTTACATTCTTCTGTGTACTCACTGAACCGCATACAGTTTGCATGATAAAACAGGAAGTCTAAATCCTGCAAACCTTTTCTCACACCAGTAATCTCAGAGACTTTTAAAATCGTTTTAATGCAAAATATTTACTCCTGAAAGTGAAGTTTTAAAATTTCTCAAACAGATGACACACTCCATCTCATCTGATTCCCAAGTTTCCTTCTGTGGGTAGCAGGTGCCTTGGTTTCAGCTTTCTTATCCTTGATGTCCCTATTTTTACCCCTTTATGGCACATACTTGAATGATAAGAAGTACAGCCTTCCGCTTCCAAGACACTGTTTCCTAGGAGGAACAGCAGGCCTTATCTCCTCACAAAGATAAGGAGCCACTTTGACCTACTGCATATTCTTAGTATTTCTTTGCAAGAACATGCAGTCAAATCACATCCAGTCTTAGGATCTGTACCCTAACAACTGTGGGGGTTGGCAGTGCTCAGCATTCATGAAAAGAAATAAACAAGCTAATTTTTAGAGGCCTAAGTTCTTTGGAGTCTGACACCAGGCACTGCTTATTTTCTTTATTTTTTCTTAGGATAAACGCTGTTTTACATACAAAATTTTTTCACTCTTTAGAAGTCTGGGAAAAACTGATAACTCCTTTTTTAATGTTCTGGGGCACTTACATTACTTTAGGAGAAATACACTACCAGACAATGGTTATCCTGTCCTTACTTCTATTTTCACTAAACAGCAACTCCCATGTTTCCTGCAACTAGGGAAAACTTTCTTCGATTCTAATGAAGGTTTTGCCTGTACAAGAAAAGACAGTGCTTTGCATTGGTTTCAGGTGTGATGGAATGTGCCATGTAATGCCATCATAATCCACTTTCTTCCTACTATTCCACCTTCCATCAAAAAAAATCTACCATTTTTGATTCAAACCCACAGTGAACTACATATATATTCAAAATATTAAATGTTAATGAGACAAAAATATGCTTAATATGTGGAACCAACATGATTTAAATGTATACATATGTTTTAAATTAGGGCTGCCTGTGGGCAAGACGAATTCATTTGCTATGAACAGCTCTGCTTGAAATCTAATATGCGGTTTATTTACTATTGTTAACTGAATACAGAGCGAATAGCAGGTGAGTGCAAGCAGAGCAGTTGTAATTCCATCAAGAACTTTTGGTTACATCACAAATTACGAGAACAAAGCATGATTCACCAGAATCCTCTGACTGATTTACAGCCTCTTCCATTAGAAGAGGACTGCAATTGGATCAGATCTGAGATCGGGATCCATGAGAATTCTATCCATCCATAGCTGCATGTCATTAACCTCTTAAATTTCATGTGGCATCCTCTCATTTTACTACTCCCCACTGGCTTCTGTCATCTTACAGTTGTTATGTCTTCCTCCTTGAAATGTTTTCTCTCCCTTTTGTATTGATATCTCCTAAATTTATAGTATTTTGCACAACTTCTCTTCTTCAAGTAAAACAAACTACCAAGCAAACATCTGGTGTGATCACATTAGAATTCTTTTTCACCCATGTGTCAAGGTAATTGTAGCTGTGTGCCCTCAAGTCATCTAAACACTAGGTCCTAGCTGTAATTCTGACTTCATAGAGTGCAGGAGTTTGTCAATTATCAAATTAATAAGTGGAGAAGAAAAGAGACAAGTCCTCACATATTCACAGAGATAGTTTCTCAAAAATCAATTTTTTGGGGGGAGGGAAAAAAAAGGGGGAAAAACTCAATTCAGATCCCAGCTATTCTATCAGAACTTCAGAGAAGCTCTACAGACTCTTTCCCAAAACTGTACAAGTCTCTCTTGTATTTCAACCCCAAAAAATCAGTTTCACTTCCAGCCAGCTCTAACAATCACATTCCCATAGGCTTAACATTTTGAATGGTACAGCAGTAAATCAAAACATGAATCTCTCCACAGTGTGATGAACAGGGTTAAGAGAAAATGAGAACCTGATAGTGACTACAGATGCCACCTACAGCACAGCTGAAGCATCTGTCAAATCAATATTTGGTTTGACATTGTACATGTGGACGCCTAGGTTTTGAACATTTCATTTTAAATAATTGGTCATGTTCCCTAATTTTTCAGCTGCTTTGGAATGTAGAGTCAGCCAGGTGGACAAAAAGCACTAGAAAATATACAAGCAGCAAAGAGAGCGCAAAGCACCTTGCTACCTGCATGAAGCCAGGCCCCATTAGGCACTGAGAAACACTTTCTCTCCACCAGACTGTGAATGTTAACCAGTAGCTTGCTGCTATTGCAGAGCGTGTTGGGGCTTGTGCAATGCCCAGCAGATGTACAGTTAAAAATAAAGCATATTTGTTTAACATAAACACATGGCTAAAGTGTGTCATCATATTCAGGCTCATTAGCTGTGTAATAACAGCCCCTCAACATTACAATCACTAGCTGATGCCATAGACAATTTTAAGGCTACCCAGCAGCACTTCATTCTTAATAAATACTGTGACTAGCTGATGGAAGATGTTCAGGAGAGAAAACAGATATTTTTACATATCTTCCCACCTTGTCTGTGTATGTGGAGCACACAATATCCTCTATGCTATGTCCCAACATAGAAGAGCAGCAAATACAATTTACCACTTAACAGCAGTACTGCAACAGTGATCACAAAAAGCCAGAAAGATTTCCATTTTCACTATTTCTTAAAAAAGCCAGTAGCCTCATGGGAACCTGGAGATATCCAATTGCTCTGTGTTCAGATACCTTTTACTGAAAATATCCTGACAGCACAGAAATGTTAACCCAGAATTGCCAATTCCTGAAATTCTAAGCAACGGGTTTTAGTCTCTCAAGTAAGCTTATCATTTCAGACACAATTATGCTCTAGCACAACCAACACTGCTCCCAGATCACAGCAGAATCTTCTCCAGCCTCCCCAGAGCCTGGCCACAATAATCACACAACATGGAGGTCCGCATAGGGCTGCACTGTTAGCTGCAGGAGGTATTAACTGTAGCTGCCCATATGCAATACTGAATTAAGTCTGTTATTGCAAAGACAACTAGAAGGATACAAAAGGGAATAGAACAATTTGGGAAAACGAACAAGTAGCAAATGAGCAATGTCTGCGAGGCAAGATCTCAACCACAGCTTGAAAGGAGCTCCACTTCCCCTCTGACTGCATCTGAGATCTAACCACCTCCCTTCTACCCATTCAAACTCCCCAACTTACCATTTGTCGCATGTTTAGCGCAGGCAAAACCAGGGCAGGTCCTGCAGCAGTCTCTGAAGATCAAGGCACTTAAAGAGCTCGGCTTGTCTCATTGCAGGACAGGAAGATAAAGCTGGAGGTGCCTGAGCCACATATCTCGTCTATGCTGCTCTAGGTTTGACTGAGGCCTACAAAACTTCTCATGGAGCCTTCTTCACTCTTCAGTATTTTCTCTAAATTTTGTCTCACGTTGTCTCAGCACCATCTCTGGGCCGAGGGGCCTCCATGTTCCTTCAGCACCATCTCCGGGGTGTCAGGAGCCCTTCTTACCCCCTCCCATGGTGCCTTAAATATGATGTCAGTTGTAAGTCAGTCTCCTTTTTGGCTGCCCACAGCCTGCTCTGCTCTCCGTCTCCACACTGCCTTGCTGTCATCTCTGAGCTGGCTGCCACCACTGGGTTGTCTCAGCACCGTTATAATCCTGCCAAGCTGCCTCAAAGTTGTGGTCAGCTGCTGCCAAGATTGTAGCCTCTTGTAGATCATCAGTAATAAATCAGATGAAGCCTCACAGGAGAAAGGCCTCAGTGTAGGACTGGAAAATGAGATGCTGTGAGTCAGCCCTTTCCTGAAGTGCAGGCTTTGGCTGGAGCTCTGCAGGCCTTTCTGTGGCCCTCACAAGCCTTGATGCTGGCCCAGCACAACAAAAGCATTGAGCAAGCAATGGCCTGACTGCCCAGGCCTTTGTACCAATCTGGTAACCAAAGTTTCTGAGCCAACAGTGGCAAAGAAGACCACTTTACAGCAAACTAGATAGCTTAAAATGGCAACAGTAGTCTGGCTGAACATACTGAGCACTTGCATCCTACATCAGCACAGTGATGGCATAGGCAGGATGTGTTTGATCTGGCATTGGATCTGGCTGGGCATCAGTAGCCCAGTGTCTAAGATTTAGCTTGGTGACAGCTGTTTGCAGTACCTGGCAGCTAAACAAAAGTTGCTGTGTGTTACTGGAGTTCTCACTTTTTTCAAATAATAAGGATAGCAGGTCTCATGATGGAATATTTAATATTCACTTTTTAGTACTAGCTAACATTTTTTTAGTGCACCACTCTCAAAAGAACTCGATTAGAAATGGAAGTAAATCTACAATGGAAATAAGCACACAATACATCAATTGTCTAAAGGCTGAAGATCAATTCCCTAAATTTGTTGGAAAACTACTGACCAGAATGCAAAACTATGTGACAAACTAGCTGAGGATGGATAGCAGCAAAGCATTTCTCTTATCCAGAATATAGCAGTTCAGTAGAGCTGCGCAATGTGAGTTTATTAAAGCTGTGCTATGAGCTGTGATGGCTCGCCCTCCACCTGTTTCTGCATGCATCATGAATCCCTGCTGAAAACAGAGATAATGGAAATGTATGCTTCCAACTATTCCCAAGTCTTTCAATTAATTCATGACCTGTCTTCTCATACTTTTCTTCCTTTGCTTCTCTCTTTCTTGGGTGCTTTTTAGTGTCCCTTCTAGGAAGGGAAAGGAAGGAAAGGGAAAGGCATATTAGCAGAGGAAAATCAAAATATACAAATATAATCCTTCTTCATTTGAAGCGCTATTTTCTTAAAATGTAAATCTTTAACATTAAATACAACTTTATCAGCTTGAATTTCAATTTCTACAGATTTGTATGCTATAAGGTCTGAAACATTACTTCTTTTAGCCTGAGAGTTATAAAGGAACCTTAGGGTGATGTTATTCATTACTTGTACTACCAAGGTGCCTAAAAAGCCTACTCAGAAACAAGGTTCTCTTTGTATCAAATATAACGAGACCAGAACAGAAAAGACAGTCATAGACCATACCTATGCAATCCAGTAATGCCCAATGCAGACAGCAATGAAGCAGTACTGACCCAGACTTGTACATCTATAAAAGGCAGGGGAGGTTTGTCTAGAAATACTTACCAGAGTCCTGGAAGTATTAAAGTTTTCATTAGCACAGTCCTATGCTTGAGCTAATAAACCCTGCTTCTCAGTATTTAGGAGTCCAGTATCACTGCTACATTAAAATGCAACTGTATTAGGAGGCTCTATTAAAACCAAAGTTAGTTTATTTCCAAATCCTGTTAGGATAGCTTCTAGGTTCAAAAAAATCATTTCTCTCAGTGAGAAAGCTGCTCTTGCTGCCACCTTCAGATGAACCTCCTGCTACTGCAATTTAACAGTAACCAGGTGGTCCACAATGACCCTGCTAAGGGAATGGTGAGCAGCAGATGACCATCAGAGAATATAGGAGGAGTAGAAATATTTTTACACTGTCTCTTGTAGAAGCTTTTTAGTATGCAGTCAGAGTGGTGCAGACCTTGTACACAAACTGGCCAGAGACAGATAAAAGAAAATGCCTCTACTTTGAGTATGTGGGAAGTCCATAGCTAATAAAAGTCAGAATCTGAGGGCAAATTTTAAAGGATTATAAAATTTTATGAGCTATAAATGCTAGAACTAGGCCTGAGCTGTTTGGCTCAAAGCTATGATCAAAATAGTCATTTAGCTTGAATAATACTAAAAATGAAGTGTGATAGTAGTATTATATTTTGGAAGCAGATAACAAGAGTTCAGTGAACAGAACTGCATCATACAGCATACTTAATAAAAATATAAGTTTCTTCTATCCAATAAGATTTGTTATTCTCTAAAGCCAGAAGTATCCACACCACGCAAGGCAGGGCTATCATAATTTGTCTAATAACACATATGAAGAATTACAAAGGTAGCAGTAGAAGATAATTATCAGATCAGTGCAAGAGAACCCAAACATAACTGTAGCATAGAAGAATACCCTGTTCCATTTTTAAGTCATACACATTAGTTAAAGTGCTTATTTCACAGTCGCAGTATGAAACAGAGCTTGTTTCAGAGCACTAACAGCAAAGGGCAATAGCAAAAAAAAAAAAAAAAAAACAAAAAAAAAAACAACACAAGAGAAATACATATCAAACTAGAGAAATACAGTAAGTTATAGGATCTTACCATCCCTTAGCTTTTGTTAGGGAAAGCAAACTGTTTAAATCTTATGATTTTACATGTAGGAAAGTGTTATTTCCTGACTTCTCATCTCTGAGTAAGGCTATACTGGAGAAGAATATTGCAAATCTCAGGAAATGATTCCTTAAGTGCTAGACAGAAAATACATGTATTGAGTTTAATGGAGGATATAGAGCACACTTAACTATGAAAAACAGTTATCTGACATAAATATCCTGATAAAATTTCTTTGTGTTTTTGGCTACCTCTTTTCTGAGGATGGTCTTCATGACTGTTCATCTATGTCTGTTATATTCAGAATGAGGGGAAGTGAAAACTAATATCTCACATATTACACCTACAACATCCTATGGCATGCCTTTTGCAGAAAGTTACAGTGAAGTAGTTTGAATAATCTCTTTTCATTTCAAGTTACATTAATCTGTGTTCTAACAGAGGATTCACAGAAAGAACGCCCTTCTTAAAATAAAATAAAAAAAAAATTGAAGATTTACTGTGGTCTACGTTATAAAATAGAGTTACTTACACAAAATTAAGAAACTTTAACCTTCTCCAGTTCTAATGATTAATACTTCAACCTTATTTCCACCACTATCCTATGCTTCAAAATATTTTTATATATTACAGTTGTCCTTTATTTGCGTGTTCTGAAGACTTGAAAAAGAAAATACTGTGTGTATTTATTTCATAAACATGCGATGTCATTCTTTTTGTGGGATAGAAAGCTGTATGCTTAAAGCTACTGTACAAACAGACAGAAAAAGAGATCCATCCTGACATATTCTTAGGGATATGGATTACTGTACTTTTTTTCCCAATTCCTGTCACAATGGATCCATTTTGTAACCCTGTTCCCTGACTCCTGGGCATGCCCTCATCTGGCACGCAGCAGGAGTAAAAGGAAGAAGGAAATATAGAAGTAGAAAAGGGGACTCATGAAAAAACTCCAACCCCCTAGCCCAGCAGGCAAAATATCTAACCCCTTCATGTCTAGGCATTTTTACTTCATTGTTCTACATGTCACTTTTTTCTTTATCTTTCTACTTTTTTTTTTCCATCAATACAAAATCAGTGAATTGATATTTTCATTTTCAAATTAATTGAAAGATGGTGGAAATAAAGTTTAAAAAGTGCTTCAAAGTGTAGCGTATCAGATTTCAGACTGTGTATCCATGCAATTGCAGTTGCTAGTGGTCTAACTTCAAAAATCCCCTGCCTTAGTCAGTATGTAGAAAATGTGGTGCTTCAGAATGAAAGTATGAGTTTATGAAGTTTGAGATGTATTTAATCTACTGAAGTGATATACTGCAGTACATCAGATTATTCCTGTTTTAATAGCATTTAGAGACACTGTCTGAGTTAGGGAGGAAGGGATGGGTATGTAGTGGGCATTAATGTAGCAAAAGATATTCTTTGTCCTCAGGACTTTACAAGCTGACAAATAGAGGAGCCTTGGGTTAGAAAAGCAATAGTACTCAATTTGCCCGAAGTAATTTCAGTAGGGTAGTGGCAGAGCTAGAAACAGAAGCCCATTTTCTGAGGCCTTAGCCACTGCATTGTCCACACAAGGAATAAACACAGCTCTGGCAATAAATCCTTGAGCTCAAATGTCAACTTCTGTACAAAATGTGGTTTTGCTGGAGCATTTTTATTTGTGCTACTTTGTCCTAGAATGCTGGGTTATCCTTCACAGGAAGAAAGAAAGAAGAACAATTTAAGCTGGTGATAACGTCCTGGATTAAGCCTTGTGGTGTGCATCACACATTGTCACAGTATAGAGCAGCCAACTCTCTCACCCCCACCATTCCTCCAAGCTAAGATGTAACACATCTGAATCTCAGTTTCTCTACCAATCAGGCACACACCACACTGCCACAGCACGCTTGGAGGTTAATTACATATTTATGTGTTATCAGCAACAGTTTCAACCATATCCCAGTGCCCTTGTTTGACTAGGGAAGTGGCTGCATTTTTTTAAAAAATGAAGACTTAATTTTTATGGATAATAGCACTACTTGGTTGCTTAAGGTACTTATATCATCATGTTTCAGTTTTGCTAATGAGCAAAAAAGACTAAAGAGTCTAATGGACTCTTAGTATTATGTAAATGTTGCCCTTGTTGGATTTATTTTTCTTAACACCAATAAAACCACTGTATAACAAGACAATCTGTATAACATTTAAATGTCATACTTTCTTATTCTTCATTAAAAAAAAAAAAACAAAAAAACCACAACAACACAGAATATTGTTGGTTTAGATAAATACTGCAGGACCTGAAATTTGTAAGGAGGTTGAAAAGAGTGGAACAGGCTAAACTGCTTAAAGTGTTTCCAAGGGCTCCAGCCCTTACATTCACCACTGTACAGATTACCTATGATTAAGGTTGGCACATCCTGGAATCCCACTGTTGTGATGCTCTAAGCTTGCATTCAGTGTTTTTATGGTAGGATCTAAGATCTATATTTAAAAAAAAAAAAAACAAAAAAAGCACCAAAATGATGTCATGAATACTGAAATACTGATTTAGAATTTTTATCTAGAATACTAATTCTTTTCTGAACGCATCCAAACATTCAATGAGATCACTTGTTACAGACAACTTGTTGGAAAAAACTGAATGTTTCTCATAAAATAGAGGAAAGGTTTAAGGTAAGAACTTGAGTTAGATTTTTCTGTAAAATAGGCTTTATTTCTGATGGTAACCCAGAGGGATACTTGAGAGTATAAGCAGGAGTGTAAAGCGTCCTTTTTTGTAGTACAACGTTCTGGCTTCTGCACATATCCATTTAAGAACTTCCTAAACATGAAAGTGCAACTAGACTGAAGACAAATGAGTTTATCCTCCATTAATTTGTGCAAATTCTTAGCTCACATACTTTAGGTATCTTTAGGCTCACAAATCCTCTAGCAATAAGCTTTGAAAGTTTAATTATGCTTTGCATGAAAATTGCTTCTTCTTATATTCTTTAAACATGTTATCTGTTTCAGTAAGTTCCTCTAGTCCCTGTGCTCCCAAGGAGAGAGAATTAAAAAAAAAAAAAGTTTTTGTTTAACTTTTCTGCCTGATTCGTGTTCAGAATTTCTGCTTGATTCCCCTTTGTTTGGTTTATTCAGAAGAAATATATAAACTTTCAAGAACAAAATAATAGATTCAAAACAATTTTTCTCTGAAAGTTCATGTAGTGTTTGAGATTTCCTGAAAAATCATGATATGGGGAGGAGAAGTGTCCCATGAATAAGTTTAATTTTCCATCGCTTGTATATTTCCATACACACAGGTATAAATCAAGCATGGTATTATACAGCATCTGCGTGAATAGACTAGTATCAACATATACAGCCTAGGTATACGGACATGTTAAAGGAAGAAGCTCCATAGAATTCTATCATTACTATTACTGAATGGTCCAGAAAGTTCTACACTAAACTTCACATGAGTGGTTGATCTGTGTTACAGGCAGACCTTTTTCATGACACCAACAGAATGTTCCCAGCTGGGATAGATCAGTTTTAGGCTCTCATCTCTGGTTAATTTTGTATGTGGCAACAAGTAACGTTTTGAAAGTAGAGTAAAAGCATGCTTCACCCACGTTTTCCTAGTCAATACTTACAGCTACCTCCTGCAAGCAGATTGACTGAAGTAGTAACTTACTTCAGATTTAAAATCCAGGAATCTGCTCTTGTATGTTTTTGGCATGTCATACTGCAGCTCTGGGTGCTGACAATTTACATGGGTACAGCCTGAAGCTGTATACTGCATATTCTGATCCTCTTTCAAACACTTAATACAATAGGGTCCCAAGTACATTATGAACAGAGGAAAACAACCCCCCACGTTCTATTTTAGTATGTTGAGCCTAAAGTCCATTGGCTGGGAGCTGTCATCAGACATGACCATATGTTACCCAATGGTATTAGAAGTAAATCCTAATTGAGTGCAAATTATGAAGATTAAAGTCACCTCACATTTAGCTGCATTACACTGAAGCGAATGTAGTTCAAAGCCTTATTTAAAATGCTGGCAATTCTCAGCATAAAAATTAACAGGCTGTCATTACCTTGGATTTTATGAGCTGTTTCAAATGTCTGGAGTTCCTTGTTTGGACCTCTAGTCAGAAGGAAAGAGCAGTCCTTAGCAGCACAGACTGGAAAACACCAAAGACAATGTATCATCAACAACTTCTGAAAAAAGGCATTAAATATTGATACAACTAAGTTACATGAAAAATCTACTGGTTATAAGCTTTTCATAAATAATGGTGAAAGACTGTATGATGGCTGCTTTAATTTGGTTAAGATTAAAGATTCGGATTCAAGCAATCCACTGATAGAATAAGTCAGGCCTTGTTTATAACAGGCAATGTACTGCTTTTGAAAACAATTAACTGCCAGAAGGATATTCCTTGAAGTTTGTTACTGTTTCGTAAGATGTCTGTAAAGCAGCAAGAAGCTGAACTTCATCTAATCGTGCACTTTGGATGATGCACTCCATTTTAATGAGATTAAAGGTTTAATGCAGATAAAAGATTTTTATCTCTTCGGTGCACCCGTACTCTATGCAGAGACTTCAGTGTGATTCACAAACAGAGGAACAGCGGAGAGCTATCATCATTCTGACAGATAAGAGCTTTTGACTTCTTTCTTATGAACATCTCCTTTTTTATTCCATACAAAATGATTGGAACAAATTTATTCCTGTTCTCTGTTCTGATCGTGTGCAGTATATCTGCAGAGGAAATCTTTCAGCCAACCCTTGTGCTGGACATGGCTAAAGTCCTACTGGATAACTACTGCTATCCTGAAAACCTAGTGGGAATGCAAGAAGCCATTGAGCAAGCCATCAAGAGTGGGGAGATCCTGGACATTTCTGATCCAAAAATGCTGGCCAATGTCTTGACAGCTGGAGTACAGGGTGCTCTGAATGATCCAAGACTAGAAATTTCCTATGAGCCATCACCTCATGCAGCTCCTAAACAAGAAGCTGAAACTTACCTCACTCGGGAGCAACTCCTGAGTCTTATTGAACATGTTGTCATATATGACAAGCTGGAAGGAAATGTTGGCTACCTGAGGATTGATTATGTCATAGGACAGGAAGTTGTGGAGAAAGTTGGAGCTTTTCTGGTAGACAAGGTATGGAAAACACTGATAAATACTTCTGCCTTGGTGATAGATCTTCGTTACAGCACTGGAGGTCAGATTTCTGGAATTCCCTTCATTATCTCATACTTGCATGAAGCAGACAAGATGCTACATATTGAAACTGTGTACAATCGGCCTTCCAACACCACTACTGAGGTATGGACATTGCCAAAAGTGTTGGGAGAGAGATACAGCAAAGACAAGGACGTCATTGTTTTGATCAGTCATCACACCACAGGAGTGGCTGAAGACGTGGCTTACATCCTGAAGCACATGAGCAGAGCTATCACTGTTGGGGAGAAGACAGCTGGGGGCTCGCTGGACATCCAGAAGCTACGTATTGGCCCTTCTAATTTCTACATGATGGTTCCTGTGTCACGATCTATCAGCCCCTTGAGTGGGGGTGGACAGAGCTGGGAGGTGAGTGGAGTGATGCCATGTGTGGCTTCTGAGGCAGAGAAAGCCTTGCAGAAATCCTTGGACATCCTGGCAGTGCGCAGAGCTGTGCCTGGCACTCTAAGTCGCCTTGCAGATATTTTAAAGGACTATTACAGCTTAGTGGAGCGAGTGCCAGTGCTGCTGCGGCACCTTGCTACCTCCGACTTCTCTACTGTGCAGTCAGCAGAGGACCTTGCCACCAAGCTCAACACTGAGATGCAGACCTTATCTGAAGACCCTCGTCTGTTGGTCCGAGCCATGATGCCTGGTGAAACTACTGCCCTTCCTGATGAGATGCCAATTGCAATGGCAGCCAATTTGCCTGATAATGAGCAATTGCTGCATGCCTTGGTGGATACTGTTTTCAAAGTGTCAGTGTTGCCAGGCAATGTGGGCTACATGCGCTTTGATGAGTTTGCTGATGCCTCTGTTCTTGATAAATTGGGACCTTACATTGTAAAAAAAGTCTGGGAGCCTCTCCAAAATACAGAGAGCATGATCATGGACCTACGTTACAACCCTGGTGGCCCCTCCTCCTCTGCTGTGCCTGTGTTGATCTCTTACTTCCAAGATCCTACTGCTAGCCCTGTCCATCTCTTCACAACCTATGACAGGCGCACCAACCATACACAAGAGCATAAAAGCCAGGCAGAACTGCTGGCCCAAACCTATGGAGCTCAGCGTGGCATCTACGTGCTCACCAGCCGCCACACTGCTACAGCTGCTGAGGAGTTTGCTTACCTCATGCAATCACTAGGCCGTGCCACGCTGATCGGTGAGATCACAGCAGGTAGCCTCTCACATACCCGTACCTTCCCTCTGCTGCAGCCTGAACAAGGAATAACTTGTGGCCTAACCATCACAGTCCCAGTTATCACCTTCATTGACAACCATGGGGAAAGCTGGATGGGTGGTGGTGTTGTGCCTGATGCAATAGTGTTGGCTGAGGATGCACTGGAGAAGGCAGAAGAGGTGCTAGCTTTTCACAGAAAAATGGGGATGATTTTGGAGAGTACTGGGCAACTTCTAGAGGCTCACTATGCCATCCCAGAAGTGGCTGAAAAGGCAAGTGTTATGCTCAGCACCAAACGAATTCAAGGAGGTTATCGATCAGCTGTAGACTTTGAGACATTGGCTTCCCAGCTTACTAGTGACTTGCAGGAGGCATCAGGGGATCATCGGCTTCATGTTTTCCACAGCCACGTGGAACCAACGCTAGAAGAACAGCTTCCCAACATGATTCCCAGCCCTGAGGAACTCAGCTATATCATTGATGCACTCTTCAAAATTGAGGTATTGCCAGGCAACCTGGGATACCTTCGCTTTGATATGATGGCTGAGGCAGAAACTGTAAAAGCAATTGGGCCTCAGCTGGTGCAGATGGTCTGGAACAAGCTGGTTGACACAGATGCCATGATTATTGACATGAGATACAATACAGGTGGCTACTCCACTGCTATACCAATACTTTGTTCCTATTTTTTTGAGCCTGAACCTCGTCAACACCTCTACACTGTCTTTGATCGTAGTACCTCCCGCAGCACAGAGGTGTGGACTCTCCCCAAAGTTACTGGCAAGAGATATGGCTCCCTCAAGGACATCTACATCCTAACAAGCCATATGAGTGGCTCAGCAGCTGAAGCTTTCACTCGCTCTATGAAGGACCTACACCGTGCCACAGTTATTGGTGAGCCCACAGTAGGTGGTTCCCTCTCAGTGGGTATTTACCGAGTTGGCAACAGCTCCTTATATGCCTCCATCCCTAGCCAAGTGGTGCTCAGTCCAGTCACTGGCAAAGTGTGGAGTGTGTCTGGAGCAGAGCCACATATCACCATCCAAGCCAGTGAAGCCTTGGCTGTAGCTCAGCACATTGCCAACCTGCGTGCACAGGTGCCACAGATAGTGAAAACCATAGGTAAGCTTGTGGCAGAAAATTATGCTTTTGTAGACGTTGGGACTGATATAGCATCCAACCTCACCAGAAGTATCAACAAAGAAAATAACAAAAGGATTAATTCAGAAAAGGAGCTGGCCAGGAAGTTAACAGCAATCTTGCAAGCTCTTTCTGATGATGAACACCTGAAAATGCTCTACATTCCTGAACATGCCAAAGACAGCATTCCAGGGATTGTGCCAAAAGAGGTACAGTTGTTTTTGTACTCTGCTATATTTATGCTAGCTAGAAGTCAGTGCCTGAGTGGGCACTGTACTCTGTCTTACACTAAGACGAGCCAGAGTAGTAGCTTGTGGTAGTAGATGATAGTTCTGGTTGCGTGTATTCTGGAGACACCTGCCTCCAGGCTGCTCCATCAGTAGCTGTCTACCACATGTAAAGATTCTAATGCAGGGTTTCTATATTGGAGAGAAAATACCTCATCATTTCCTATCACAGAAAATTATTATTGTTTTTCAAGCTGTAAAAAATTAACACAGAAAACTGCTGATAAAAAATGAGTTTGCAGCCTAAGAAAATCTTAGTTGGTCCAGAGTAAGGGTATATACTTGCAAAACGTGCGATCCCATTTTGCAGTGGATTTTTTATATATAAAATTGCCATATCTGTCGTCTTTTAACTCTGTTATACCTGAATAATAAACCACTCCTTTTGTATCGGTGGTGAAAAGTTGTTCTGATTGCATCTTATGCTCAGCATCAGATAGTCTGCCAGTGAGCTAGAAATACTTTGGAAGAAGTATCTGGGTAGAAGTTAGGTGACTCTTGGAAGAAATTTATTTTTAATAATCTCTTTTTGTTCTTGCTGGGTGGTTTGCATAACAGTCTGTGCTTTGTTCTGAGCCTGCCTATTTATACACTGGTCTGCCTTGGCAATCTTTCTTGTTCATTGTTGTGCTGAAGGGAGCTCCCAGGAGCACTTGTTACAATTCCATGTTCAAATTAAAAAGAGGGTTAGGATAACCTGATCCCTTTCTTGGATGGAGTTATCATCTTTCTGGCTACTGCTCCAGCATGACTATCAGAGACATCATTTCCACAGGGACTCATAAAATTATGTTTTGAAGAGATTGCATTTGCTTTTGCAGTGAACCAGAGTATTCCAAATGTCAGGTAACTATTGAATGTTTCCTGGGGAAGGAAATCTGTGGGTTCCTACCCTCTGAAGTTTTGGGCATGCATGAATTAAGGTGAGTGTGATCTTTGTGGTATTATCTCCAAAACAAAGGTCAGGGATAAAATCCAAGCATTTTTGCAGGGAAGGCATTTTTATCAAGTTTGTTAACCAAGAATTTTTACCTCCAAGCAAAATTATAAAAACAAATAAGCAACCACAAATAGAAAAAATGCTTAAATGGCATTCGTTTATTAGTTAAATGGAAATCGTTAATTAAAGGATTGTGTTTTCTATTCCATCATTACTCTCCCTCTCCTACGCTTATTCGGTGTAGAATATTTCTCTCTAAAGGGATTTTTGACAGTGCCTCCTGCTAAATTATTAGCAGACTAATAGCAGTTACGCATTTCCATCCTGCAACTTAGTCACCCTATTATCTGTAGTCTCCTAGTGGATATTGTCATCTATTTTTATTAAAAATTATTTTATTCATGCCTTGAATGTTGAGAACAGAATGTAGAAAAATCTTGTTTTTCACATGATGTGAAATTCTAATCTTGATAGAGCTAATGAGGAAATGCTATTATGCTAATTAATACCCATATTTTTGTCAACTCTGTCAAGCAAAATGGTTAGAAAAGGTCGGGGGGGGTCTCATCAACATGAAGGAAATCATAGCAGTGTGCATGAAAATCTGGACGAAAGTGAGATTTCTTCAAGGGGAATAAGATATACAGAAGCAGGGTCTCTTATGATGCTAGGATAGCAGCCAAAGGAGGAGGTATTCCCAGTTTACTGAACTTCATGAGTTTTTTGGGATGATGAGAGATCAGAAAGTACCACTGAGATGTTTTTTGGCAAAAGAAAGTGGGCGAACTAAAATTTGAAGTAAGGGTTGTTCCTTTTGGACAGCAGAGGTACCTTCATTTCCTCACCCCCTTTTTTTTTTCCGCGCTGTCCCTGTCTCTTCTTGACTCCTCTTGGAGGATAATTGATTCTGCCTTGCTTTTGCAGAGCCGAGACAGGTGCTTTCTGTAGATCATTTCAGAAATCCCCCATTCCAATATCCCAGAAAGTAAATGACTTGAGGTTACTGTGATGTTTACATAATAGCATTAAATGCAATTATAAATCCATCTTTTTTAGGACAGTTTTAAACAGGAGCAAAAAGTGGCTCTTTAATTTGCATTATGCTCATTCCTTAAAAATCAAAGAGCTGCTTTTTTCCTTGTGCTACCAACCTTCCAGCCACCCTTTCCCATAACAGTGGGATTTGTTGATAATGACCTTGACAGTGAAGCAGATACAACATAATTAAATTAAAGTGATGATGAATAACTGCAGAAGGGATGGAATGGGACACGGGAGACAGACGAGCGAAATGCATGTAGACCTTTGTATCTGCTACACTAGAAGACTTGCTGAAGCATAATACTGGGTAGCGAATACATCTCCTCCATGACAGCAGCAAGGTCAATGCTAGCTGGAGATCTCTGCTGCATAAATGCCACTTTCCCAAGTCAGACTTTCCAGAGGTCAAATGTTGCATATGTGGTTTGTGAAAAGAGGTTTTTGCTTGTAAAGCAGAGTTCTTTGAGAGGATGAATACTCCTTTGGTAGCTATTCTGGCCTCATAAGAGACCTGTGCTTCTCAAACACATTGTCATTAACGTTAAAGTAGATTTGCATTTAATACATAATACATAAAATTTACATTATTTTTATGGATTTTTCAATGGGTGCTAGATGACAACTCAAAACTCAGCTGAGAATCATATTTTCCAATGTAATCTTCAAGGGTATTCCAGGCTAGAAAATAACAATACTTTATGGATTTTATAACATTTTGCTGCCTGGTTTGCAATGAAAACTACATGTTGTCACAGCAGGCTGGTGCGCTGCTGTGCTGAGCAGCCCATTGAAGGGTGAAAGTACAGCTGCTTACTGCACTCTCCCACTGTGGACTGACACCCTTAAATAACCTCTTTTAATCCTTCTCAGAGAGCTGTCCAAGTGCATTTCAGCTTTTGCTTATGGTAACCTCTCCGTTCTGGCATAATAAAGGACAGAATAAGGATTCAAAAACATAGATCCAGAATAATTGGAGACATTATCTGTGAAAAGTTGGATGGAATTAAATAAGAGCATATGCAAGAATTTTCTAATTTCTAGAGTGAGAGTAATTGACTGCATTACTCTGAGAGGAGAATGGGTTGTTTGGAAGGAGCTCTGTACAAAAGTGTATGGGTCCTACAGAGTTCACAGTCTGAACACAATTTCACAAAGGGAAGTTGTTGCAGTAAAAAAATAATCATCATGAAAATGGTATAGAGAAGCACATCTAATTGGCAAAACATGCAAAGCCTTCAACTCCATCTTAACTCTGAAGCCTCAGTTGGAGTGCACAGTATCCAGTCTTGTGCAATACTATTCTGAAAAGTTGTGGCTCAAGAGAGAAGAGCCCAGGAAATATGAATAGAAGTGAACAGTAGGCAACAATTGTCTTGGAAAAGTTTAAAGGATTTGAGGTGTTTATTCAAGAGACAAGAAGACAGATGATACACAAAACCAGTTTTCAGATAGATAAGAGGTGATTTTTAAATACAAAGGGAGTAAATCTCTTTCCTTGTCTGTGTTGAACAGGCCAAGATGTAATGCACTTAAACTGCAGAAAGCAGTAAATTTAGAGTGTTTACACAAGATAATAGGAACATCTTGTAAAGTTAGTGACATACTAGGACTGCCTGAGGAGGAAATGTATCTCTTTCACTGGAAGTTTTTGGGAGCAAGTGAGAAGCAGCTTTCAGGGAGATTGCTGATCCTGCTCAGTTCTTGAGCTGAGGAACCTACTAGGCTGGATGATTTCCTTTCAGATTGTAAGGGTGCACAAAAGTATCCAATGTTATTCTGAAAAGGAAAGAAGAAACATCCCCACACTGCCGCAAGATATTGTGGTTCTAATACCAGCCTTTGGATATGCAACAGCACAAGATTAGCTGATGATATTTTAATCTGGAAGTTGACAGCACTAGCAGCCTTAATACAGATAATAGTTAAACTACAATGGTCAGCATGAAATCAACTATGAAAATGCAGTTTCTGTTTAAATAAATAAAACAGCATAGGGGAGAGGTGAAAGGGGAGAAAGGAGGCAAGAGGTGCAACTGTTAAAGCAATTTGCCTATGGTTGGTGTATGAGCCAGTGATGAAAATCCATGCGTGTTTCCCAGGGCAGCAATCGAGGTCTTATTTTGTGTCACGCTACAGGTTCTACTTAGGCCACGTATATGTAGAAGGTGATTGCAGAATAGAACTGGACAGACACCCTATATAGTTAACAAAAAAATTCTTCTTAGATTAAGTGATGTTAGCTTGGAGGTCCTTTACTCTAGCCAGATTGCTCATACTGTTCTTAAGGCACCTGAGGTTTTATATTTAACCATCAAGTCATTTGTATGTAAACACTGCCTAACTGAGCAGCAAGATCTTAGTCTCAGCTGCATCCTGTCCCGGCTTGTCCTTGACCTTCAAACATAGTCCTGCCTTCCAAAGGAAGTTATACTGTTAGTCTCTGAAATTAGGCTCACCTCCTGAGATACCAGCAGCATGAAACCTATGTTTCAGTGTCATGAATCTGTGGTTGTCAAAGACAGTAATTTCATAATGTCAATCCCAGCCTTCTCCTCCCTTTAAAAATTAGGAGGGTTTTTCCTTCTTTTTGTTTTAAGAAAGTGCATTCCAAGTGCTTTTTGTCTGACTTCCTTTTAGAGCGTTTGGAATAGACATATATTGATGCATTTTTCTACAGCCATAAATAACATGTAGAAAAAAAAATATTACCAGGTATAGACAGACGGAGTATTCTTGATCAGCATGCTTCTGGCTGAGTATCTTACAATTATTTTATAGGAGAAGTAAGAAATGTGAGTATTCAATTGATATCATTGGTAAGTGGCTGAGAGTACCACATCAGTTTTATTTGCATGTTACCAATGAGTGATGATTTTTTTCTCCGGAGGGGACTGGTACCTCTGAACTAGAAATAAGCTCTGTCAGAACAATGCAGGGCATGCTGGACATATTCTTCAAAACTGTGATTTGTTAATCAAAGTACAGTGAACAGATCAAGTAGCATCGCTGTCACTGGGAATTGGATTGGAAATGACAAACTCAGCAGCTCAGACTTATATGTTTACAGTCAAGAACAGTGGTTATTTTTACAAGGTACAATGAGAAAGAAAGTACAGAAGAGGGCTCAATTGAGTTTGCTCTCAGCATTAGATCAACACTATTGGCCAGCGAAACTTTTGAATTTATGGTTGAAATTTTGGCATATATAATGAATGCTGAAGAAGCTCAGGGCAGGCAGAAGTGTGATACATAAGGTAATACTCCACAAGGTAAAGGGAGTATTACCTTATGTATCACATAAGGTAATGTGATGCTTAAACTGTGTCAAGCACACATGTCTCCCAAGTTCTGGATCGTGTTGCAGGTTGGGAGAGCACCTCTCATGTGGCATTGCTGATTCTTTGTTCTTTTCACTATAAAGCTATGGATTGCCTGGGGCTGAGCCATAGCAGAAAAAGAAACTGATTAAAAAGCGAGTATACAACCATTTTCACAAAGACCCTGAGGAGAAAAACCCACATTGCAGAAGGTCACAGAAGTAATATATATACCAAAGCCTTATCTCCATAAGCTGGAGAATCTTTAGTTTTCAGAAATATGCATGCAAAACATAAGTTTGGCAATAGCAACAGACTTTGTCTCCAAATAATATAGGGTTACTAGAACAACTTTATTAGTTGGCTATGCTTTGCTATGAAAAAAATGTCTGCTGTTTAATAACATCCAGATAAACAAAAACGAAATTAATCACAGCTTAACATGAAATTCCATGCACAAGGCTACCATACGAAAAGACTTAACACATGTCTACCTCATTATCATGCCAGCACATGCCCAACACATGAAGTCCCTCACCGTTACAGCGGCTGGCTTGTTATCAGTGCCTGGGAATGGTTTCACCTGTAGCCAGCAGCTGTTTGTCAGCTAAGCCCAACCTTGAGACTAAAAAGGCCCCAAATGTCCTCATTAGAAAGAATTGCTGGAGGAAACAGAAGGACTTGGGTGGCAGGTCTGTGATGCTGACTTATGCTGTGGGCCTGGGGCGGTTTTTGTGGCCTTCTTAGTCTCTTTGGCCCAAGGAAATTCCTGTATTTTTGAAAAATGAACTGAGACTTGACAAATGGGGGCCTGATTCAGTTTCTTGACATGCTATTGAGGGATCCTATACTGGGCAAAACAAGCAATGCCAAACTAAGTTAAATATGCAGAAGTTTTAATATTGTTACACTATCATTCTTCAAATTTGGTCAGTTTCTTAGGTATGTTCCACCTGGACTAATCCTGGCTCACAAAATTCCTTTTAAATCTTGTGCCAAGCTATCAGTGCCAGCAAATGATTTGTTTTGCTTTTCCAAACTCTTTCAGATCCCTTCCCCAGAAGTTTTTGAAGATCTGATTAAATTTTCATTCCACACAAACGTATTGGAAAACAATATCGGCTATCTGAGATTTGACATGTTTGGAGACTGTGAACTTCTAACCCAGGTGTCTGATCTACTGGTAGAGCATGTTTGGAAGAAAATTGTTCACACAGATGCATTAATCATAGACATGAGGTAAACCTTTGAATGGCAAATAACCAAACCTCTTTTGAAACAACATTTTATTTGTAACAGAGAATTAGCTTTACATGCCTTACTGTCCTTTTTACAGAGTAATATTACTGGAATTAAATGAGAAAAGGAAATCAGCCAAAGAAAACAATAACAGTCTGGAAGTATATCTCAAGAGAAACTGTACTATCACTTGAGATGTTTAAAACTAAATAGGCAAATCTATGGGATACGCTGCAGGACACAATCCTGGACTTCACATCTGTTTTCTTTCTCTGATTTCTTTCTAATCTAACTCTGCATGTGTCTTGTAATAATTATATATGTATGGCCTAATTAAATATTTCACTGCAGGCAGTGGTCAAGTCAAATGGTCAAACAAACAGATCACGTATAAGCCTGTTGCAGCATCTAGACTGCCATATCTGCCAAATTATACTGGGTAGCCAGCCTTGTACAGAATGACTCTTATGCACAGAGCACAAGGGTGGCCTAAGGGCACTCTCTTGCCTGAAAAATACTCTGGCACTCCTAGACCCTGCTGTGCAGCAGTCCTGTGCCTTCTCTTTTGGGACTGTGTTGGACACTCCAGTGTGTCAACAGTGCTCAAAGTTTAATAAGCCAGAAGATGGCATCCATTTGTTGTCAGCTATCAGTGCAGATGAATACCAGAAGGGTACATTTCCCATAAAATATTTCTATAGTTTATTCCCTTGCCTTGTTTTCAAAAGTTTATAAGCCCAAAATGTTATAACAACAATTAAAAAGAGCCAATTTTGAATACTGGAGCAATTTCTGTTTATTGCTATAATGAGTCTTTCAAAAGTTGTCAATTTTCTTAGTTTTCTTCTGGGATTTGCAGCACATGCAGGAAAAGATGAGCACAGCTCCCACTGTGTGAGTACAAATGAGGCAGTATAACAGTCAATCAAAATCACCTGGCACTGAAATTCATTTAAGCAGAGATATCATTACCTTTGAATAGACTTGAGATAGGGCCAGGGCTTTCACTTTTCTTCCTCTGATTTTTCACAATTCATTACTCATGCCAGGGCCAACAAAGTAGCAAGGATGATGCCACATCCCAGGTAAGAAATGGTCTCGGGATAGTCTTTTTCTTCGCTTGCTTTGTTTTTTTTTTAATCTTCATCTTATTTCCACCCCTTTGAGAAAGCAGACCTGGGAGCACTGAGAAGGCTCAGTCTCTGAAATCATATAAAAAGAACCTCAAGCATTTTACATTTTGAAACTCAAACTAAGTCAGCATGATTATTTTAGGGCAAAACTGATAATTCCGATTTTGCATAAGATCAACTGTAATACATAATGTCTCTCACCTTACAAGTTCACCTCCTTGGCTACTCACCAACTCCATATTTTTATTTATCACAGCACAGAGAACAAAGATACTGGTAAACTAGATATCTTTCCTAATGTCACACAAAAATTCTGTAGTGAAGGAAGATCTTGCCCGAAAGAGTTGAGTTAAAATTCTCACAGCTGCTCAGTTAGTATTACTAACTAAAGTTTCTGCAGTTTTTCTGCCCTGGAGAGTCCCAGAAAGAGCTCTCCAGCATTGCTCTATATCTATTGTCTTGTCAAAACGTTCATCATAAGCCATGTTTCTTTTTCTTGACAACAAGTTTGATAATTGGAGAAGCCTCTAAAGTGATGTTTGCAGAGGAGGGAGATGTCTGACATTTGCTTTTCCTTCAAAATCTTCTGTATCTCACCAGCTCAAGTCTGTAGGCATACACTGCAGGGCAGGCAGCTGCTCTGTCATCTTGCTGCCTGGCTTCTCTCTGGTGAATACTTCCATCTCTCTGCTGTTCAGCCAGCTGCACAAGGTTGGCAATGCATTGTATATGTGGCTAGATGGGAAAATGCACCTTAAACACCTCTTTCCTTTCTTGAAAGTGCAGGAGGTCATGTTGACTTCTTGGCTATATCTGATAGTCAAATTAATCCTCTTGGGGAGGGATGACTCTGCAGCAAGAAGACAACAAATATCAGTGCTCCTCCACCTTGGCCAGTCTGTTACCACCAATAGGCAGGACTTGGCTTTTTTGGCAATAACTCAGATCACTGCCTCCTAAATCTGTGCAGTGACAGCTGCTTCAGGTTAGGTATTTATTCACACTGCCTTTATCAGTGACACTGTGGATTAGTCAAAGCAGAAGAATAACAAACCTGATGTTTCTCTACAAATTAAAAGCCGTTGTGTACTTTCTAATATTTTTTTCTCCTAGAGAATCGAGAGAAAAACAGACTTCTCTGTGTTCTGTTTACATTTGTAGCCAACTGTAGGAAGTAACAATTCCAGCCTGTTAGATGGGACTTTGTTTCTGCTGGTGGAGGAGAATGAATGTAAACACATCAAAATGTAGCATTAAGTACTCCCAGTAATTATGTACTTGGAAGGGAGATTTAGCGTCTGCAACAAATTTTCACTTATTTTCTTCATATTCTAAATTTCTGAAAAGGTACAATATTGGAGGTTACACCAATTCCATACCAATCTTATGCTCCTATTTCTTCGATGAAGGACATCATGTTCTGCTGGACAAAGTTTATGACAGACCCAGTGACTCAGTAAAGGAAACATGGACCCAGTCACAGCTCAGAGGTGAGAATGACAATTTATTTTCAGAGTGGCTTCACATTTCTGGTGTTGTGTTTTAGAGGGAGCCATCAGATACTATAACTCATTAGAAGAAAGCACCTGCTACAACTAGCTCAAGCTGTAATAACAAAAATGTGCATCTCAGTCCTGTCTCTAATGCTATACTAAATAATTCCTAGCAGTGTAGTATGTTGGATGCAGAAGTTTATTAACTGGTCCCCAGAATTTTAGCTGAATACAGTAGATGGCAACTACGACTTACTGCTATGAAGCTGACAAAAATAAACCCCTTGCTGCTTAGATTTGTAGTATCATAGAATCATGGAATCATAGAATCACCAAGGTTGGAAAAGACCTAAAAGATCACCCAGTCCAACCGTTCACCTATTCCCAATAGCTCCTACTAAACCATGTCCCTCAACACAACATCCAGTCTTTCCTTGAACACCCCCAGGTTCGGTGACTCCACCACCTCCCTGGGCAGTCCGTTCCAGTGCCTGACCACCCTTTCTGAAAAGTAATACTTCCTCATGTCCAGCCTGAATCTCCCCTGCCGTAGCTTGAAGCCATTCCCCCTGGTCCTATCACTAATGACACGAGAGAAGAGGCCGACCCCCAGCTCACTACAGCCTCCCTTCAGGAAGTTATAGAGAGCAACGAGGTCTCCCCTGAGCCTCCTCTTCTCCAGGCTGAACAACCCCAGCTCCTTCAGCCTCTCCTCATATGGCCTGTGTTCCAGACCCCTCACCAGCTTTGTTGCCCTCCTTTGAACACGTTCCAGGGCACGTTTCTTGCAGTGAGGGGCCCAAAACTGGACACAGTACTCGAGGTGCGGCCTCACCAGTGCTGAATACAGGGGAACAATCACCTCTCTGCTCCTGCTTGCAACACTGTTTCTGATGCAAGCCAGGATGCCATTGGCCTTCTTGGCCACCTGGGCACACTGTCGGCTCATGTTCAGCCGAGCATCAATCAATACCCCCAGGTCCATTTCCTCTACGCAGTCCTCCAGCCACACCGCCCCAAGCCTGTAGCGTCGCCTGGGGTTGTTGTGGCCGAAGTGCAGGACCCGGCATTTGGCCTTGTTGAAACTCATCCCATTGGCTTCAGCCCAGCTCTCCAGCCTGTCCAGATCCCTCTGTAAGGCCTCGCTACCCCCAGGCAGATCCACACTTCCAGCCAATTTGGTGTCATCTGCGAATTTACTGAGGGTGCACTCGATGCCCTCATCGAGGTCACCAATAAAGATATTGAAGAGGACAGGCCCCAGCACTGACCCCTGGGGAACACCACTCACAACCGGTCGCCAGCTGGATTTGACTCCATTTACCACCACTCTCTGTGCCTGGCCCTCCAACCAGCTCCTTACCCAGCCAAGAGTGTATCCATCCAAGCCTCTGGCTGCCAGCTTCTGCAGGAGAATGCTGTGGGAGACAGTGTCAAAGGCTTTGCTGAAGTCTAGGTAGACCACATAGTAGTATCTCTTCCAATACTCACTTAAGTTTTACCTATAGCACTTCAGTTTCTACCTGTGTGATCTTCAAATACTATTTCAGTAGATGAGAATACAAGCAGTAGTCCAGTTTGTCTAGAGATGGCAAGAGCAAACGAGGCATTAAATTTTGCACATCTGAGTGCATTTGGACCACTTAGTGATGTGTCACACCCTACCCCATCATCCCCAGAAGTTGATGGGATGCTGCAACATGCAGGGAGAGAGATCTTCAGTGCTCATGAAGTGTAGTTAGAGAACTGGACAGCCTTAAATACTGGCTTTAATTCTTTTCCCCTTTAAAACTGAGAGACTTCTGAAAGAGGTGTTACACGGTATCTGCAGTTACTGGCCTTGAGTATACTGAAATAGTTAAATTTTGTGGCAGGCTGCAGGGTCCATCTATTCTCTCAGACAGTTAGAGGTGGGCTGTGCTAAGGGGGTATGATTATTATGGACACATTCCAGTTCCCATCAAAGAGAACAGGCAGACTCATATTAACTTCAAAGGAGCTGGATCTGGTCCTGTATTATATATATCTACTGTGAAAAGGGTCTTCTAATGGATATTAAGTCTACAGTGAAATGAGAAGACCAAAGATGGTGTGAAAATTAATTACCATGCTATTGGCCCCTCTCTTACAGCTTAATATGAGAATTAGATTTACTTAACTTAAGGAATGATATTTTTAAAGCAGTTTTAAGTAACTTTCAAGTTATCAAGTCCCACTTATGACACATTGGTCATAGTTTCAATGATCTAAGCTTTCAAAAAGTACTCAGTGTACTCAGATATATTGAAAATACGATTAAAGAGAACTACTCCGTCAGATGGTTTATGTAAGGGAATGAAACAACTTGGCTGACTGAAAAAAATTAAGGGGGTATTTGTTGAAGGGCCTGGGACAAAGGCTGTGCAACAGCTTCCATTTATAGACTATAAAAAGCCTGTGGGAAACCACTGAAATTATAGTTTCATAAAATGCTGCCTGCATGGTTTGGAGGCTAAGCACGATGACAGCCATGTTCCTAGAGCAGAGATGAGAATGTAATTGAAGATGCTGCTGGCTGAGTTTTGAGTACTCCTGCTGGGGAAGTGAAAAAGGTCGTTTTCCTCACCTGCATATCCCACTGCTCCACAAGCTCCAGTGGAAGTCCAAGCCAGCAGTAGTAACCATGAACTGGCCTCCCAGCTGTTGGAGCTCATATTAGAAACTGGTGGCACAGGACCACCATACAGAGTGACAGTATTTCTTACACTGTAGCAGCTGGAATAGGGAAAATAGTGATTTAATAATATTGCAGATACAAAGTAGGTTTTCAAAATCTTTGCTTATTAATAGCAAGAAGGGAGTTAAGTATACATTGGCTTAGTTGCAGAAATAAATCTCTGAAAATGGTCAAACTTTGTGATGCTTTTTGTTCTTTCTGGCAGGGGAGAGGTATGGCTCCCAGAAAGGACTGATTATCCTCACCAGTGCTGTGACAGCTGGGGCTGCTGAGGAGTTTGTCTTCATAATGAAGAGGCTGGGCAGAGCACTCATTATTGGGGAACAGACCAGTGGTGGGTCCCATTCCCCACAGACATACCAAGTAGATGATACCAACTTCTACATCATCATCCCCACTGCACGATCAGTCATCTCTGCAGAAAGCACTTCTTGGGAAGGGAAAGGGGTGACCCCTCACATGGAAACACCAGCGGTAACAGCCCTCATCAAAGCAAAAGAGGTGCTCAGTGCTCACCTGCACAGCTCAAGATAGTCCAACGGGGGCATGTGCTTCTTAAAAAAGTAGGTAGCTGTGGTTTTCAAAGGAGTCTGATGGACTTGCACTCTCATGAGCTGAACCAATAATGGGTTTTGGAGCCCAGAGCAAGACTTACTTCTAATTTCAGTAACTAATGCAAAATTGAGACCACAAATATCTAACAGGGTGTGTATGTGTGCATGTGAAAGGATGAGAAGGGTACAGGTGTTTCTCTATATGTTATCTATTTGTTTTCTGCCCAAGAACTCTGTTCCATTGGGAGAAATAATTTCTGCAACTAAAAATAATTCACAAACCTTGGGAATTGTGTTGTTATGGGCAACAGAAGTGAATCTGAGTTCCTAGAAGGAGAGGGAGGCTTCACAATGGAATTTCATTTCTTGAATGAATTTTTTGGTAATCTGTTTCCTCAGGGAAGAAAGCCATATCCAGATGCAAACCTTAGAAAGGAGTGGGAACTTGAGTTCAATTTCAATAGTGAGTTTTTCCTTTAACATAATTCTCAGTGACTCTGCTTTTAACATGCTGGTTTTTTACTCCCATTCTGAGGAACTCAGCTCTTTCTGGGCATGGTTAAGATAATTGGATATATCAGTGGGGTAGCTGGATTTCTTTCCTGTGGTCAAATGTAAACGTTCATTTTTGCATTGTCTGTTTTTTCCTAAGATTTTGCTCCAAATAACAGAGATTTACTTTGGTCCATTAGAAAATCCCAGCAGGTTGTATTGAAGGCACACGAGCCACCTTAAAGCATTTATGCAAGGGTAGAAAAGATACCTGCTCTTTCACCCAGTGATCAAATCAGCACTCAGGGAAAATAACTGTATGGACTTTAGGCTAAAAACAGATTATTGTGTGCTTTGCCCCAAAGACAAGAAGAAAACAAAGAAATATCCTTTGTGCCCTGCTAGCAAACCAGTTATTAAGTGATTGTGTATTTCAAAACAATTAACAGGGTATTGGAATGAACCTACTCAATGCCCTCCATTCTTACAATTCCTATCTAACCATCTCTCTTTGTAATGATTTAGAAATGTGTATAACTCTAATATAGATATCAAGATTCCTTATATCTGCAAAATACCAGCTTTAAGGCAATTAACTTAGAAAAATGGTGCCCCTAAATGTCACCAATTAGAAGCTGTAATTGTAATACATTGCTCTTTGCTTGATCATTTGTGAGTAGCTGCATTTTTCATAAATCACATTTAAACATCTATCTGCAGAGATCTCTTTTAGTAATCACTGAAATCATTTTAACAACAGACTTTCCATCTTTTTTGCTGCTTGTTCATCTTTCCAGTTACTGTTGGTGCGATCACTAACCTGGACTCTTCTGAGTTATTTTTGTACTCTGATTTTTATTCAGTAGCCAGTTGTTGGATTTCTCAGTGTTGTAGAGCCATTTAAATGGATTGGAACTCATAGAACATTTTGTGTGAATCAATATACATACATGAAGAATATTAAAGATAATAAGAAAAAGACTGGAGTAGTCAATGAATGAGTAAACACTGGTGTATTCCTTCTAATGTCTTTTAAGCTTCTTTAATAATCTAAATGATTTAGATACGCTTTTTTCCTCAGCACAATTTGTTGTGCTGTCAACAAACAGTAGTGGTTCTCAAATGCAACATTTATGAACTGTGGTCATCCATTTGGAGACCAAGTACTACACCAGATGGGCACAAATAGCAAATTATTTCTTTGCCAAAGTAATATGATAAGTACTTTTAAACGATAAAACTTTAATGATTGGAATGTAGTTAGGTAAACAAGAAAAGAAAATTCATTTGCTAGTGACTCCATTTGATATCAATAATGCTGTAATACTCCCTCAATAGAAAGCAATTGTATAGAAGATTACACTGCATTGAAAGGCTAGAACATCATCAAACTATGAATGAAATCGGTTATAGAAAATAGATGGTTTGTGGTTTGTGTTAGAAAGTTAGATTGAAGTTGTCTTATAAATGGACTGAGTTAATTCTGAAGTGCTCTTCCAGCTTTTCACACAACAGAAAACACACTGAAACCACCACTCTTCTCTCTTCTGGTTCCAGAGCTGAGATGGAACTTCACGAGTTTTGTAGCATCATTTCCTATCATCCATTCTAGAACAACTTTCTAATGGTTAATTCTGCCAATGTTCCTTTCAAAGGAGGCAAGAAATAAATGAGTATACCAGGCCTCCTAACTATATGATCCACCTCATTTTAGAGTTCACAAGACTCTGACCAAGAATTGACAGGCAAATTATTCATTTTTTGCACTACAGAATGGTATTGTTCTTGCTCTCTAGACAGTGTTTCTAAACCAGACACCACTGATCACACCACAAAAGATGCCCTAGCCCAGTTTTCAAACTCTAGACCATAGGGAATTCATGTCTGTATCTAAGAAATTAGTGAAAAATGTTATATTTTTCCTCAAAATATCTCTAGTTGTAGAAAACATACAGATCCCTGCTGTCAAATCATAGCATTACACTGTGAGACTGAAGGATTAGCTTAATGCATTCCTCAAGTCCCTGCATTTATTCAAGAACCCCCTGCTCTAATAGAATGCCTTTCCTTCAGCAGGATTTTCTTTCATCTGTACCAGTCTGAGTGTTCAGACTTCTAGTCATAAGAAAAAACTTTCCAACATGACCCAATTACAGGATACTTCTTTTTCTTTGTCTCATTATGTTTCCTTCTGCCTGTGCTGCCTTGGTTCACTCAGCTTTAATATAAAAATTTTCATATAAAGAAATAAAATCTCCAAAATTCTTGAATGAGCCCAATGCTTTATGTAACCCTTAATGTAACTTAAAGGAGACAATCAGTTAAATGTGAAATGCATAAAAGACATCCCCCCCCCAGCTGCATGAAGGGCTTTGCACAGAAGTGTAGTTTACACATAGGAAATCAAGTTCTGGTTCTGTTGACTGTGCTATTTTGCTCTGATGTTGGCACAGGTGTAGCTTGCAATAGAATGTGATACAGAATAACTGTGTGTAAACAGATCTTACCCTACAAAATGCTTTAGTCTTCAATGTAAAAAGCAATTTGCTTTCACTCAGTCCTTGAGCCAACCTAAAACAGACAAGACAGAATAGCAAACGCTTCCCTGCAGTGGGGTTTCTGGTATGCAAGAAGAAAATCCCTGCCTTTACATGCTAGTACCAAACTGTGCTGCTCCTGCAACTGGAGGGGAGGAGGTGAAGATGGTGTCAGAAGAAAAGCTGATTAAAAACCTATCCTCTTCAATTTTTAATCTCCAACCACCTTTGGCATGCTTCATAACTGTTTTTCTTGCTTTTCTATGTACCGAAGGCATTTATTTAGATTTGTCATCAGTGTATGATGTGGCTGAGCCTACAAAGATGCTGGGTAGGAGTTTTCTTTTTTTTATTTATTTTTTCAGCAAAGAAATTAGCTTTATGAGATACGGAAAGTCTCTCTGTAATCATGCTGTTTGCATAAGCTTCATGCCATAAGCAGAATGAAGAAGTTCAATTACTGCTGAGAGCTCTGACGATTCAGGTCTAACACACCACTGGATGAGGTTTGAAGACTTGACAGCTTTTTATCAGGGGCCAATTTTCCACACTTTCTCAAGATGACTTATATCAACCAAAGGTCAATGAAAACATCCAATCAGTGAGGTCTGGTACAGTTTCTTTCTGGCCTAGGTGCAGTGCACTGGAAAAAAAAAGGCCCTTGGAGTAGACAGTGCTTAAGCAGTGCACCAACGTAAGACCAGGAAGCATTATGCAGTTGATCTTGTCTTTTTCCAGAAGAACTCTGAAGTTTCTAACATACAACTGCTAATAAAACATAGTATCTTTCAGTAAGCAGAGAGAAGAACATTTGGTAGCAGTGGTACCAAACAACATTCAGTCTTATTTATACATGGCAAGACTGATCTGAAAGTCATTGATGTAAATCAGGAGTAGCAACATGGAATTATTCTAGATTTGCACTGGAATAAATGAGATCACAGTCTGGCCTAAACTGTTAATGGGAGCTATAACTCTAGCTGCATATGAATGCAGTTACACCATGGAGTCCTTTATTACACTTTATGGACACTGACTTTTCACAGCAAACTGGCTGGCACTCAGACAAAACAAGATGGAGTGAAATTTGGCCTGTGAAACCTTGCCATAAATATGTTCCTTATACAGAAAATGTTATTGGACACAAAATAGAGATCGAAAGATTGGGAGGAAAACACATCATCTCCTACACAGTGCAAGGTTGTTCCCTGTGCTACGTGTTTCAAAGCTTTTGTTCCCTTTGGTTTTCAGCAACTCAGGCAAAAGAGCTTCCTCCACTGACACGGAAAGCTGTATTACAGTCCAGCCAGATCTCCAATCTCAATTTATATCTTCTGAATTCAAAGACATAGTGTAAAGATTTAATCACTTTATCTTGGAAAATAAAGCTGGAGTGGTTGGCCTACAATATGTCAAATGTTTATGCTAATAGGGAACGGCCATGTATTAATATTGAACAGCAGTATACTGGGAAGAATACAGTTTCCTGACTTACAGAAAGAGGTAACAGTGTGGGTAATATGTTGATCCCAACTGACAGCCTAAGATCTTAGGGCTGTCTTTTGTCATTCAGATGTCTTTATGTGCTTTCTGATGCTTGCATTATCAACATCATCATGGGAACTCAATGAAAACTTTTGTCCAGTGTGCTGCAAACACTAGACTGTATCACTGGCATGATGGAGAGTAATAAGGAGCAGATTTCAATCTCCTATACAAATTCCAGGGGTACTCTTAGCTGTGAGATGAACAGTTAATGATCATTACTTGAAAGGGAATAATAGCACATGAGGCACATAGAGAGGTCACAAAACCAGGAGACCACCTTAAAAAAAAAAAAAAAAAAAAAAAAAAAACCATACAAAAGAGACAAATGCTCATTTGAAGAACATGTTGTCATAAACTATCAAAAGTAAGTCTCTAAATGAATTTAAGATGTAATGAAAGGCTAATTAGATGAGCTGCAGTAACAACAGGCAGGACTGCTGCTTTCTTCTCCCTCCCGTCCCCACCCCCCCAAGTAATACAAACTCATCTGCATCTGAGACTAAGCAGAACACAAACCAAAGGAGGCAACAGAAAATCATCTCATATGGACTGGCTACAGAGAGGCTTTGGCATCTTCTTCGAAACATCTGGAATTAGCCAGTGTAGAAACCAGATGATAGAAATGGTCTCATCCAGTGCAATTCATGAACAACTGTGTCATTTTGTGAAGGACATTCCTCTTCTAGCTGTCAGCAGAACAGAGCCTACCAACCAGGATGCAGAGCACAGGTTCTATCTAGCATTTGCTAGCAGTAACTCAGGCACCCCAGCTGCCTTCTTCAGTATATCCATAAATTGAAATCCACAAGCGAAACCCTGCCCGATCAGACCTGCATGCATGCAGAAGTCACACAGATCTTGCAAGCCGACCTCTGGGAAAAATCTGTGCTCCCTCCCTTAAATGATCGTTTGACTACAGCTCAAACTTCGATACAGATGCAGACTTAATCAGATTTTGTATACATTATTTCAAAAGCAGCAAAGCCTAGAACTCAGCTCAGACTGAGTAAGAGGCCATCACAACTGATACAAACAGTAACTTTGTTTCTTTTTGCGTACAAGCATGTAGATTTAAAGATTCTGCGTTCAGTGAAGAGGTTGCTGCTTCTATATTTACATTGTACAGCGCAGACACCAGCAAATCAAATTTTGTCTGCAAAATGATACCTTTGTCCCCAAACTTTGTTTGCAAATTAATACTGCGTGTGTGCATTCATTTCACAATTTTATTTCCTCAAAAATAGATTGACAAGGGCCAGGCTGAGTTTGCAAAACTTACAACCCACTCAGACTTTTGTAAACATATCATATTTTTTTTTGCAAAGCATCGACTATAAATTACTGTAAACAGTGATTTTCTGTAAGAAATTAATGTAAACGCAAAAAAGAAATGGATACAAACGAAGGATGTCCCCCTACTCTACCCAACCTGCCCAGTCCCTTGGTGAGACCCATCTGCACAGCTCTAATTGTGAGAGGTCATGTGCCGGGATAAATGATGGCGTTCTCGGAAGTACTCATGACAAATGGGACATGTGAGCTTCTCCTCCCGTCTCCTCTTGCTCTGGGATTCAGTTGAAGAGTATTCTTTTTTGTGATGTGACCGCATGTGGAAGACTAAATCGGAAGTCATGCGAAAGGACAGGTTGCATTTGGCACACCAGTTCTGGGCAGCCACTCCAAAGGATGTGAAGGTGGGGGGAAGAAGAGTCAAGGAGGAGGAGGTGGAAGTGGAGGAAGAAGTAGTGGTCGTATTCTGTAACTGTCCTACTTGCTTGTGCCATGGTTCTGAGCTATAAGGGAAAACATTTCCCCGAATGATGCTAGTCTGCAGCATCTGAGCATTACACAAATCACTGACAAAGAACTTGGAATTGAGAAGAGTGCTGCAGCACATGATGTCTGTGGTGGTGATGAAGCCAGACAGCTCCCCCAGGCTCTTTGGTGACTCACTCATGGGATGAGAAGAATTTATTGCCACTCTTTCTGCAAGACATTTACTGGGCTTGCTGAAAGCACTTTTCTGCTCTCCTTGGCCTCTGGCGGGCCACACAAAGGAGAATGCACTACCAGAGGAGTTCAGCAATGCCTCCTTTGATACCTGCTCCTTACCAGTGGGAACTGTGCCATCCTCCTGGTCTGACTCTTTGGGTCTCTCATTCCTCAGCTTCTCCTTTGTCGTCCTGACCTCAGTGAAAGCACTCTGCTTCTGCTCAAAAGCCTCCTTCCTAGCTGACTGCCTTCCTGAACTCGGCTTCCAGAAAGAACCAGCTGGTGCATGCTCTCCTCCAGCCTCTTCCTTGTCCCCACAGTTATGTTCCTCACTCAGATTATTTGTTTTCTCCAACAACACTGTTTTCCTGCTCCTGTTGTTCTCAGCCTCTTCTGATTTTGCTCTCTTTTCTCCAGTGAGACCACGAGCATCATCTTTGCAAGCTGTCATTTTGACCTCTAGATCCTTTGCCAGGCTGTGGAAATTCATGTTCTGCTCCGCTAAGGTGCCTTTTTCACCCTGGAAGCTCCTCCATAGGGCACTCTTCTCTGGGATGCACAGGAAGCGGACGTGGGACAGATAGGAATGCTCACATCTAAAGACTCGGTTGCATTCTTGGCATCTCATCTCTGCAGAAAGAGACAACAGATTATGAGTTTTGCCAAGTTAGAATCATGGATGCATGCAGATCCTGACCATGTCATTGACACAAACAAAAGCACAAAAGTATCTCTTATGTCATTCAAGGTGATACATGGTAAATCTAAAGTCAGAGTGAGATCCCTTGCTGTTATGGAAAATGATTCATGTCTGTTTGCCTCCATGTGCTACTTGCAGAAATGCTTCCATTCAGCCCCTTCAGCCATGTTTGAATTTGATAATATTGCCAGTACGCAATAGTCCAGATAAAACCATAAAAACTTTGGGACTATACTACTGCATTCACCATCTTTACTAGAGGATGAATGTTTATTTCTCTGCCACCCATGTATCTCTCACCCATGTAATGACATGGACTAGAGGTGGCCTCAAAGATTTTGGCACAAGCCTCTGATTTCTGCAGAGGATACTCTGAAAGTTTAATATGTTATACAAATCATTTGATGCTAGTGCCGAAAGCTCTTATTCATGCTCATTTGGCAAACTGTTCTACGTCTCAAGGCATAGATGCCTGTGGCATAGAAAATATTCAATGTGAAACAATGTCAGTCATGAGCTGGAGAAATGGGGATGTGCATTAGCATAATACCATCTCTTTC